AACGTTTCGACAAGGTTTTGTCATCATGTACATTTGCTGTTATGTTCAACTTATATTGAAGTTTTTCTTCATTACCCATTCATGCCGTATCCAAGCATTATTACCACTCTCAGTTTCTTTTATTTTCAAGCTGCTTCACTTTCTTAATACCTACAGTATGTGTACCAACAAGATGTAGAGTGAAGTCCCCTCATTTCTTTATTATCCCACCTCAGCCTCCTCAACAAGAGGCTGGTTAGGAATATAATGAATAAATTGAATATTGTAATTGTAGGCTTGTCTTTCATACAGGTTTGGTATTTCTCATTGTAAAAGATTATGTAATTTAACTGCCACAAAAACAATGATTTCTCCTAAAATTCATGATAAATTCACTTTGGATTGTCATGCCTTACTCTTAGTTAAAAGCATGTGTACTGCAATTTTTATTTTTCATTTGAACTATCAATAACATATTGCTTACATTCAAGTAAAGAGACACTGACAGGTTGAGGTTAAGTATTATATTAATTAGGGCCTAAGTATCTTGTACTACTACTAGTTTATGGACCCTACAACTTTCAAATAGGGTGGAGATCTACATATCTGCCTTACCCTACACCAGTAGTATTATCAACCACTGTCTAAGTGAAATTGATGTTGTGCTTATCTCCAGTTTCTCCATGTCATTCTCCATTAAGAATTCCACTTTAGAATACTAGAATCTTTTGTCATAAAGCTAAGAAAATCAGCTATTAACCAGAAGATGAGCATGCATTACATCTTCATAAGGAAAAAAACCAATATGAACTTTAATTGTGGAATATGATGTAAAGATAACTTCTACCATGTCTGAAAGGAAAGTATTACATTGAACAATCATCTTGTTAGAAAAATATCACTGCTTTAATAATAGCTGTTTAAATTTTCCATAATTTAAACTTATATTCTCTAGTTTCAATGCAATAAATTTTACAGGAAGGCATAACTATTTGAAGTCCCCTGGTGGGACAGTGGTAAGTCTTCGGATTTACAATGCTAAAATCAGGTTCAATTCACTGTGGTGGACATAGCAGATAGTCTGATGTGGCTTTACTATAAGAAAACATACACAAAATATTTGAATAAAGAGGGTCGACTTGGAGTTTTTCTTAAGTTTAATTTAGTGGATGGGGTAGCCCAATAGACAACACATCCTTTCTTGTTCATAAATGTTATGTAGAGGTTTTCATGAAAATGTCATCTGATTTTATGGATATCGAGCATCTGACAGTTGTACAAAATGCACTCTTGAACTATCAAGCCCTCGTTCTGTAACTGAAAACATCTCAGAAAATTTCTTATGTCCCTATATGATAACCCTTCCAAATATGGAATCAGCTTGGAATCTTTTCTATGAGCTCTTTCCAACAACTCAGTCTTTCTTAACAAAGGTGATTAAAATTTAACACTATTCTGAAATGAGGTCAAACCAGAACCTTGTAGAATGAACTGATCATTGCCCTAGCTTCGCTGTTTCAGAGAGGCGAGCCGCCCTTCCCCTCTTTTCTCCTGCCTCACCCATTTTCTTCACATTTGATGATCTTCCCCACTCTACAACCTAGTATTAAAAAAAGCCTATGCTATGCAGTTCTAGATCTACAGCATGCATCTTCTAAAATCCTGATTAGCAAATTGACCTTCCTATTATATCACTGATAAATGGAATAAATCTAACATTCATATTGCAGGCTACACTCACGCGTGGCTGCAAATGACCAACTCCACATACATACAGTGTGTATTTTCTCTCTCTCCAGTATTGCAAAAATCCTACACAGCACACACATGGCAGTGTTGTAAACATCACTTCTCAATTCCATATGAAGCATGACATAAGACTGGAGTTGTTGTCCGGTGTCAGGTATCACAATGGGCTTAAGTGGAAGAACTATCTATCATCACCAAATACTTTTTGTCCTTTAAGTGACTGTGAGAAATATTGAAGGTTTGTAACAGAACTTATTTGGAGAAAATTGCCCAGTAGTTTGTTCCAGAGAAATTTCAAAGGAAATTTATGAACAATTTAATTGCTAATTTAAGTAGTGGCTTTTCGTTTTGATCCCAAGCAAAGAAATTATGGTCGTAACACCTTGTGTTGGCCTATTTGTGACCATAACCATTATCCATCATAAGCAATGTACATACACTAGTTTCATGAAAATTTGAGGAAGTGTTTCAGTCATGACCTAGCCTAAGCCTTCGTGACTTAGAGTCAGGAATTCAATCATGTGATATGGAGGATGGTTGGATAAGCTTATAGAGAGCTGTAATGACTTCCGAAAATTTGTGGGATTTCTGCTATTTCTTTAATTGATAGAATGATAGGTTCTTAAGAATAAGAAATCAGTCTGCTAACTTTAGTCCTAAGACAGGTTGATAGGCCCTAGGCCTGGATAAATTATAATTATGAGCCTGCAGTGTTCGTTTATGGTGCCCATGGATTACGTCATGCATTCTTAAAATTGTACATGGTCCTGTCACACATATAATAGTGTGTACCAGTTCTTGAATTCTATCAAGCTTAGATTTAAGTGAGAGGATTTCATTTATCTTTGAAGAACCAATAATAAAATTCTTGTGAAACTTGATTCAAGATACATCTATTCTTCCATTAAATGAAGGAACAAATATGAGTTGTCAAATGATACCTTCAGAATACATATTTCTATGGGTTAGTAGTAATATAGATATATGGCCAAAAAATAAAATAAAGACAAAAACAACAAATAATGGAGGACATTTCTCTTTCAAAGTTCATTCATTTCGGTTTTTGCAATGGATACTTACCTTACTTGGTAACAGCACCCGAGTTTATAGCATGAGGGTCCTTTTGAATCTTAATAAAAGGTATACAATTGCCTAGTTCTGAGGTAGGATAAAAGCAAAAATCTTTGAGATTCTACATGTAAATGTGCCCCTTCAACTAAACTCCACCCTGCCCCTTTTTCAATCAAGCTAGGGGTCTGACTGATAACCACCTTTAACTTGTACTCTGTATTTCTTTTTACAATTTAAAATCCAAAAGTTTGTGTAGAAGGTTTTAAAGATTTTTTAATAGCTATGACTAGCCATTTTTTTCTCTTCAGTTTCACCTACTTTTCCAAACAAGGCTATAAAATGGCAAAAGTTTTGATAATCATTATACATAACACTACTTTTATTAAGATTAAAAGATTGAAATACAAAGATCTGCAAACTTAACTAATTTACTGGTTGTTCTATTAATTTTATACTTCGAAGTAAAAGTTGTATAAAAAGTACTGTATTGTAGAAAATAAATATGTAAAACCTGGTGAAAAGAAATGCTTGAAAAAGGTATCAGATAATTTATGACATTAAAGACAAATTCACTAACATGAGACATGATTATTCTCTAAGGATCCCATGGGTCAAGTTGTACTTTGTAGTTGAAAATCAATGACATTGTTATATAATTAGTGTGACTTTCAGTGTATATTTTTTATGTATAATTATTTA